GCGTGGATATGAAATTTACAAAACGTCGATCATACTGATCGACTTAAATTGTTCACACGAGGAAGCCTCCGCAAGTCAAATTAGGGATGTGACCGTAAATCATTGGACCGATTATTAACCTTATTTTACTCAATTCTATTTGTGAGTCGCATCATTACCATTAAACAGTGTTTCCTACTAATTTATCAATGCCTGTCTGTTTTCATCTGAGGGGGTATTTACTTCCCAAGTTCCTGTTTCACCACTATACTCGCTCTAAGTCAGAGATAAGTCCTGGTAAAGAAGGAATGGCGATATAAACATACCGAAAGCCGCACCCGACAAACGAAAATGAGTAAAACATAATATACAACGCCCGTACGGCCGGTATATACAACAAATGAATACTGAAAGTAGAGAACTCCTTTAGTTCCTCTATGTTAATGATTTGTAAGGGTGAATTTAAAAAGTTTCTCAATCCGCTGTTTGTAACAGAACACCGTGATACTTTTGTTCTCACCATGGAGTAAAAGAGAGACGAGATCTTTTTACAATGTATTCATTTGTTTTTATCTTATTGTTGCTTAGCGGCTGACACAAATGAGTGTCAAATTAGTACAAGTTCTAAGTTTACTATGTAAACTAAACTTTATTTAATTTTAATTTTCTGGTGTAAAGAGCTTCCAGTTGATGACGGTGTCCTTCAAAAGCTTTAATGAGTAGATGTAAATACATATTATCTACGTCTTATTAGGAGGATTCAGTCAACTGCGTGGGATCCTCAACATTACAGCTGTTTGTTATGTACTGGTTAACGGGAAGTTTGTGAGTCAGTTAAATTGAAATGATGGTAAGTTGTAGCCGCAACAGAACACGAAAATCAAAATGCAATTCTTTGGGTCTCCACTAATTGTTGATTGAAATAAAAGTCTCACGTCAATAAATTTCCAAATGTGTTTATAAAAATGAGCCCGTAAGACCACATCAGATGGTCATGGAATTTGCTAATGACACATAAACGATGAAATATTGTGAGGATTGTGAGGGAGGTGCGAAAGAAAGGGAAAAACGGTTTCATTTAAAAGGGTTTGCCATAGAAATGAGCACCCTTTCAAAATTCCAGCGAGATACGATTACAACTTACACCGGAAAATTAGTGGAAGAAATGCGTATGATGATAGTAATTACCGAAAGATAATAAAAGCTGATGAAGGTGAAGCTTACGCTGATCGATCTCTAAAATCTGGATTTTTCAGCTGCTTTTGATTTAACATGCGTTATGCAAAACAGGTTATCCTCAGAGTCTTCGATTAATTGTCTCGACGTTTTTGGGGTTAACTCCCAAACTGTGTCGAATTAAGACCCAAGCGAGTTTAGAAACCAGGGACCTGTTTCTCGAAAGTCCTTGTAGATTCAGATTCACAAAGCTTACTTTAATGGCCGTGTTTACATTCAAGATAGAAAACTCAAAAGTACGAGTAGATTAAACAGTTTTTTTGTCTTTGAGCCAAGACCCAAGATACTATTCCTCAATTTGAGAACTTTAAATTATGACTTTGGATCTGTGAAGTTAACTGGATTTTCAACAAACATGCCCCAGAGAATAACTACGACAGTTGCAGTGAGATTGGGTCTCCAATAGCTCCAGGTGTATGAGTTAATGGATGATGACGGCGATTATTAGCTCAAAGACTTCACAGTCCGATAAGCTGACACACTTCAACGCACCATAATTCATAGCGGAGCTCGCAGGGCGTTTCCCCATAATTATACAAAATAGTAGTAACCCATCAAGCCGAAAAACTTTGGATGTACGACCGTACGACCGTACAAGGTGCTACTATTAACATGCGTGGTCAACTGTACCGCGAGTACGCCAACGCCACGGCTTTGTCCAGTAGTCCAGTGGTCAGTGCACTGGGCTCCGAGTCGGACGACCTGGGTTCCAGTCCTGGCCGAGGCAAGGCGTTGTGCTCATGAGACGTGCGGGAAAAAAAATGCGAGCTCCGCTTTTAGGCTTGGCTAAATCTA